TGGGCCCACTCAACTCCCACCTCCTTCACCACCCACCATACATACACACATACACATATATATATACACAAAAAAAAAACACACACATACACAGGATGAGAGGGTATAGGGTCACACGTGAGAGTCTTGGAGCTCTGTGTCCCCCTCTCTATTATTCACTCTGAACTCATGTGAGAAGCAGTTGCTGACAGTTCCATATGGGCCTGGGGTCTGGCCGGGATTCTCTTAGTGTCTGGATAGTGGTGCAGTACCTGCAGGAGTCCAAAGAAACTCCAGACCCAGCTCTTAGGATTGGCTTCCTAGGAGGTGATGCCTATTCAGATGCTTGAAGGATCAGAAGGAAACAGGAAAGGTATTCCAGGCACAGGGGAACAGCATGTGCAAAGGCTCAGAGATGAGAGAGCACAGAGCTCCTTGTAGCAGCTTGGGATGCTTAAGGGGCCCAAGTAGGGAAGGGGAGGATGAGGCAGCTGCAAGAAGGGAAGCTGGGCCTCTTGCTCAGAAAGGGGCAGCGTTTATGGGTAAAGGAGGAGGCCAAGGGCTCAGACCAAGAGGAAATACAGAGTTACACTGGTGGTCTAAAATCTGGGAAGAGTATTCTGATGGAGGGGACAATAGGAGAAAAGACCTAGAGACAGCTTTTGGGAGCAGCCAGGGAGGTGGGTCACTCCAGCATTTGGTGGGCTCAGAGCCAACCTGTGGGGCAGGCTGGACAGGAAAAGGCTGGGCTAAAACCCATCACGGGTCTAGGCCATGGGTGACTCCTCACTGCCTGCCCCCTCTGGGTGCCACAGAACCGGCAGCCCCACATCCCCTCCCTGGCCCCCTTCCTAACACCCTTCCTCTCCAGGATACAGTTCTGGGCGGGTGGGGGCAGGGCAGAGAGCCAGCGGCGCCTGGGGCAGGGGAGATGAGAAAACCAGAAAGTGGGGAAACCTGAGCCAGCAATGCTGGGGCTGGGCGGGCCAGGGCCTGCTCAGCCTGCTAGGCCCAGGGAAACAGGTTCTCCGAGACTAAACCAGAGGGAGTGCCTGGGGGAGTGTAGCTGCCACCTCCATCCAGGGGCATGGGGTGGGGCGGTCTCTGAAGGCAAGGTCTTTGAGGTACATGCAGCCCTCCATGTACAGAGGCTAGAGGAGCAGGGTATCCCTCGAGGTCACCCAGTGCATCAAACTTTCCTCTCTCCATGAGACATGCCAAGAATGACAGAGGATGGAGAGGCAGCTTGAGGCCCAGAGGCTGCTGTTCAGTCCCCCACAATACGTCCAGGAAGAGGCAGGAGGAAGAGAAACAGGCAGGAGCTTTGCCAGAAAAAAAAATTGGTCCAGGTCCGAAGGGCTGAGAGGTTTGGAGGAGGGAGCCTTCAAATTCTTCTACCTGATGCCAGCACCATCACAGAGAGTGGAGGCTGGGCTGAAGGAGGCTCATTTCTTCCCTATTGTAACCTCCACTGCAGGCTTTGTGGCACCTCCGAAGGTAGGTCAGAGAGGCTCTGCTGTGAGCACACAGCCACACAGCCAGGGTACCACCCTTAGGGCCAATCTTGTAGTCACTCAGAGCCCATCTAGGAACAGGGAGAAGGGTTGCCCCAGGAATGGACCCCAGAGGCTGAGTCAGTGGAGAGAGCAGTCCTAGTCTGCGGCTCTCTTGCTGCTGCCCCCTTTGTGTGTCTAGACTGGTACCAGGATGGGCCACAGGGGAGGCAGAGAATAAGCCTGCCACGGAGATGGCTGGGAGCTGAGTGTCCTACAGAGAAGAGTTCCTGGCCAGTGGGAAGTCAAGTCGGCCTGGCTGTCTCCTCTCACACCACCCCACAGAGAATCATGGCTGGCTCCCAGGTGGTGGTAGAGAAGCTGAATGGCTTTTGGATGGGAGGACAGGTCTCTGGGTGGCAGAGGAACGAGGTGGGTAACAGGGAGAGGAGTTGGCTTTCTGGTCTCTTGGCCTCTTGGCTCATTCAATAAAGATGTATTGAACTCCATAAGTGCAGCATGGGCTCTAGCCTCTCCTGCCTGTCTGGTTTGCAGGTCCTGGCCCCATGAGGTCCCCATGACCCTTCCCTTCCCTTCTAGAGTCTTCCCACAGCCCCTAAAAATGTCTCTTTCTCCCAGCACCACTGCCTGGTAGTAACAGGCCTTACCCCACTTCTCCCAGTGTTCACTTCTTCATCTATACAGTGAGGACAATAGGTCTTACTTCTGCACATGATTGAGGAGTGCCTGGGGGAGAATAACAATAAACCCTGTTGGCATGAAGGGCCTTCCAACCTGGTGTCCAGGGCTGGTTTCAAGGGGTTTTGGGACCTTGTGAACTTGAAGGCAAAAATCACAAAATCATGGGAGGCTGTACAGTATCCTCAATAACCTATATCATGTATAGAATAATATATACATATATGTCATATACATATACATATGCATATATATGGGAGTTCTTGTGGTGTAGTGCCTAAGGCATTTGATTGCTAACCAGAAGGCTGGTGGTTCAAACCCACCAACCACTCCTCGGAAGGAAGATTGGGCAACCTACTTCCATAGTGATTCCACCTCAGAAACCCGAGGGGTTGCTATAAGTTGGGTCTGACTCGACGCATAGCACACACATCATTGACCCAGAGCAATGTGGATTCTCTGCTCCAGTAAGAATTGTTTTTATTTATATTGCTTATTCAGCATTCTCAAATTGCTTAGGAGAGAGCTGAAACTCCACTATTTGCAGTCATGGCTCCGCTCTAGAGCTCTTTCTTCTCCCTGCCCACCCCTCAAGGTTTCTGTGTCCCAGGCCTAGTCTGTGTGTCTGAGTGGAGCTCCATGGACAGGTCATTATGTTGGCTTTTGTTCCCAGCCCAGCACCCTGGAGTCTTTGTTGAGTCCTAACAGTGTTCCCTTAGGCATCAGGATAATGTTGGTCCTGGGAGTGGTGACAGAGGTGGCTGGGCTAGGAGACCACGGAGACTGGGGGAATAGAAGGGATGGCAATGGAAACCATTATGATGGTGGTCCAGTGGTGGTGACTTCAGGAGTGACCCTGGTGCAGAGAAGTGAAGAGAGAGTTTCACAGTGTTTTAAATAAGGCATGACAGAGGGGAGAGGTGCAGTCATTCTCACTGCAGCCACTCTAACTCCAGGCTGGTGTTTCCTCACCTCAAATGCACAGCCTCTGCTTGGAGCAAGCACTCTGTCTGGGTCAGGAGACCTTCAGCAGGTTCCCTAACCCCCACCTCACCCTACACTTGCAGTTAACCAAAGGGTCAGAGGAGAGATGTCTCCTGGAGGTCTTGTTAGCCAGGAAGGAAAGAGGGAGGAACAAGGGAAGGGGTGAGAAGAAGGAAGAGGAGTATAGTGAGAAGAAGGGAGAGGAGTATAGAGAGAAGGAGAGAAGAGGGAAGGAAAGGGAGGAAGGCAAAACCAGAAAATCAAAACCACTGCTATCAAGTCAATTCCAACTCATAGCAAACCCCTTTGGATTTCCAAGATGGTAAATGTTTACAGAAATAGATTGCCTAGTCTGCCTTCTGTGGTGTGGCTGGTGGGTTTGAACCACCAACCTTCTGGTTAACAATCAAAAGCCTTAGGCACTATGCCACCAGAGCTTCTTGAGGAGGCAAAAAAGAAGGAAGATATGAGAGGAGAAGAAGGAGAGGAAAAGGTGGAGAAGGGAAAGAAGAATAAAGAAGAGGAGGGGAGATGGAGGGGAGAAAAGGAGAAGACAAAGAAGGCCAAAGTCCCTGGGGACTTCAGGAGAGTGCATGGGGCAGGGTTGAGGCTATGGTACTGGCTAGTGATGCCAATGGCTTGGGAGTGGGGGTGGGGTGAAGGTCCCTTCCTGGCCCAAAGCTAGACCTAAACTCACTTGCTGGGCCCTGGGGCCATCACTGGGCCAATTGAAAGCATGTGACCCTTTTAGGAGAGGCACTCAGCCCATCTAGCTTCTCTGGGATTTAGAACTAAAGGCTTAGGATATGCGGGTTTGTGGGGCTCCTGGCCTCAAATAGGGCTGGCTGTTGAGAACATCTCCGTGAGCCGTTGGGTGGCTGGACAGAATTGTGTGGCAAAGATGCCAGGGCCTGGGCTAGGTTGAAGGTGGCGGCCGCTGGCAGGGCCAGTGGTGCCAGCCGTCGGTAGGGGTTGCACCGCCACCTGCTGAGCGTCCCGGGCAGTTCCGGGGCTCGCGCCGCGGGGCTCACGCGCGGGGTCAGAGGCGCGGCCAGCCGTGAAGGGGAGGAGGGACGCGGCAGTGGGTGCGCAGGTGAGCGCAGGCTCTTAGCTCCCTGGCGCGCCCATCCTTCCCGCCAGGGAGTTGAGTGCCCGGGTAAACACCAGGCGCGGTGTGCGCGGTGTATCCACGGAGAGACAAAGCCGGGGCGGGGCGGGGGCGCCGCCTGCAAGGCGGGGGCGGGGGCGCGGGCACGGGGCGCGAACAAGCCTCGGCGGCGATCACGGCCCAGTAAGTGGGAGCCCGGAGCCCAACCCACGGACAGGTGGAGCGGGGGCGGGGCGGTGGCCGGGCGGGTCCCGCCCCGGGGGTGGGGCTGGGCGGGCCTGATGGGGCGGGGCCGCGCTATGCAAATGCTGCCCACGGGCGGCCAATTGCCGGCGCTCCCCGCGCGGCTCCGAGCTCCCTGTCCCGCCGGCGGCCGCGAGACGAGAGCGAGCGAGGGAGCGAGCGGCCGCGATCCGGAGAGCCCCGAGCGCAGCGCAGGGCCACGGCGCGCCGCGAGAAGCCGCGCAGCCCAACGCGGCCGCCCGGCCCGGATCCAGCAGCCAGAAGAGCGCAGCGCCACAGGGCTGAGCCAAGCGCAGCGCCCTAAACCCGAGCGCGCGCCGCCGCCCGCGCCCCGCTCCGGGGAATGCGCCTTCGGCACGCCGGCCAGGGGGCGCCCGCAGCCCACCCCGGGAGAGGCGGCCCCGAGCGCCCCTGAGCCTTCCCATGGCCCGGGCTGGGACCCGGGGCCTCGGCTGCTGACGCACCCGGAGTCCGTGCAGCCCACCTAGCAGCGGCCGCGGTGCTGACTCTGGCTCAGACGCAGCGGCAAGAAGGCGCGGGCAGAGCCATGGCCCCGGGGGGCCGTTAGTGCGGGCTGGCCCGGCTGGGAGCCGCTCCGATACCGCTGCTGCCGCCGCCGCCCCCGCCTCCCGGGGCGCCCAGGCCCCGCCGCTGCGGGAGAGGTGAGTACGAAGGGAACGGGAAGGGAGCGGGCAGGCAAGAGACCGGGCCACCTCCCGACTCCTCTGAGATTCGCGGCGCTGCAACTCTGCGGAAGTGTCCGGGACGCGAAGCTCCGCGGGCCAGGTGACTGCCCGCAGACGCAGGGGCAGCGGGACTGAGATGGGTGTCATACCTATTCTGGCAGCCCAGACCTCTCATGTCTGTGATTACCATGAGGCTGTATGGATGATGTGGCCTGCGGGGTCACTAGTGTGCGAAGCAACTTTTTCTTCAAGGTCCTGAGTGGGTTGGTGGGCGCTCCTACACCCCTACCCCCATGCTCCTGAAACGGGAGTCCAGAACTCGCTTCTCCTTGCTCAGCTCTCTCCCACTAGTGTCTCTCGCATTGCCCTGCCTGCCTCAGTATCTCCAATTGAGGACCAGGTCAACCCGAAGAGAACCACTATACTGGCAGCCCCCACGTGGGGGGCAGGTGTCTCATTTGGGCTTGGCTGGAGAACTCCAGCTCCTCGACACTTCTCCCTGTGTTGTGCCAGCCTCCTGACCCTGCATTGCCAGCTTGGGTTTGCTTTTCCAGCAGGGAGTTCTGCCTGGATTAGGGGCCAAATGTTGTGGGGTGTAGGTGAGCTAGGACAGCCTATGGGTCTTCAAACTCCAGTCAGAGCAGTCTGAGGACCTTGTGGTAAAGTGGGCAGATGACACGAGGAGCTTATTGGGCTGGCCTCCAGCAGGTGGGACCAGCGGGTGTTGAGGTGGCCCAGGAATGAGGCTGGCAGGAGAGAGGTTGGTTGGAGCCAAGGCCAGGAGACTGGCTAGGTAAATAACTTCAAATTCTTAAGATAGCTTTGTTGCTACCACTAACCCATTAATGCCTAGAGAAGGGGGCAGAACTGAAGGCACCCCTGTGTCTGCCCTAGAGCTGGGTCAGATTAGGGGCTCCTGTCCTGAATTCACCCAGATTATCTCCCAGCAGCCCCTATTTTAGTTACGGAGACAGGGAAACTGAAACTGCACCAGGGTTTGGTCCCAGCTCAGGAGGTTGGATAGATCTAGGGCCTCTTCCCAAACTGCCCAGGGGCTGTGCCAATGTTGGTACAGGGGTTTAGGGCAAGGAAAGACTCACCGCTAACCCTGCTGCCAGTTCCTGGTTCTGAAGGAGCCAGGCCCGGAAGTGGGGGGTGGGGGAGATGGGGAAAGCCCGCAGCCCAGCCTCAGCGCCCCCCTGCTCTGCATACCTTAGAGCGGAGGATGGAGTGGGTGACCTTGACTGGAAAACCCTGGCCACGTATGGGGGGTTTCAATCCCAGCCATGCTAGGGTGGCTCTGCTTCCTGGTCCATGGGGTGTTGGGGGAGGGGCTGACCAAGGAGCCAGGAAAGAGCTTTGGCCTGAGGTGGGTATCTAAGGGACTGGCTAGGGGGTGGGGAGCTGTTAATGATTCTTTCTCCACATCCCCCATAGACCCTGCTCCTGCCTTCCCACCATCCAGGCAATTCTTAGCTCTTTGGAGCCAACCTCCCTTCCCTGAGGCAGGCAGTTCCCCATCCCCCTTCCAAGGCTGGGAGGTCTGGATTGGGCTGGACAGTTCGACCACCTGGCCCTCTGCCTTGCCCCCAGGTGTCTCCGGACCCCTTCCTCTGGCTGCCCCTTCCCTGCACCCCTTGTCAGCCACAGCTCCTCGTTTCTTTGTTCGAGCGTCTCTCCACCGTCCCTCCCTCTCTCCTCCCTCTCTCCTCCTCCCTCCCTCCCTCCTGCCTGCCTCCCTCGCTTCCTCTGCAAGCCTTCCTTCTCTTCTTCCAGACTTTCCTCCTGGTGGGCTCCCAGGTGGCGGTGGCTGTTCCTCCTCTGTCCACATACCTGGGCTTGGCCAGACTTGGGGACACCTCTGGGGCTGAGGCTGAGCCTGAGTGGAAGGCACCTAGGGACTGAGAGATCTAAGTAACTGTAGACAATGCCCTTCCCTTCCCCCTCTCCTTCCTTCTTCTCCTCTTCCTCCTTCTCTACCACCTCCCAGGCCTGAGGACCCAGTGGACTTGAGTGTCCCTCATTCCCTCCTTTAAAGGCCCAGCACATAGTGGGAGGTCCCAGTGGGGTAAGTCCCCCCACCTTCTGGATGCCTTGGAGAATGCCAGCCATATCCTTGGCGACCCTGACCCTGTCACCATGAAAGTAGATGTAGGATAAATGAGGTCAGAGGGTAAGGCACTTGATCTGAGCCCCCTGATAAATAGGGCCAAAGCTCTCCAAAGGGGCTCAGACTGCATTGCACCCTCTCCACCTAGGACAGGGTCTTCTAGGTCCTCTGAGCTGCACCTCACTAGCAGGTCAAGTTCTTGAGCAAACGCATGCTCGTGAGGACATGTGTGGGCATGCAAGTGTGGACGTGTATATATCCACAAGTGTTAGTGGGGGCCTTCTAGGTGCATCCTGAGGGTGATGGGGGCAATGCAGCCCTTTCTCCCACCTGTTCCCTCATCATCGGAGCCTGCCATGCACTAGCTTTGTGCCCCAGCAGACTGGGAGAGGGGCTAGTTCTGATTCTCACCTTCCTCAACCCGCCCCCCAGGAGAGAACATCCATGATGGGATATCTTGAAGGAACACGAGAGGTGTGCCAGACACTCAAGAGAGGGTGTTCCCAGCAAAGGGCATCACGTGGGGAATAGGCCAGGAGGCCTGAAGCTGTACTTCCTGTCTGAGAAACCTTGAGTGGTTTGTCTTGGCTGGAGAGGCCAGGCGAGGGCTTGGGGGAGGTGGGTCTGGGGAGAGAATCAGGGCCTGGAAAGCGAGACCTGAGAATCAGATATGGAGTCTGGGCTGGCCTCAGCATTGGTCAGGGTTCTGAGCAGAGAAGTGACAAACCATTAAAACCCCCACCCCAGGTCCTAGGAATGAGGCTGGGGTCCTGCCTCTCTTGGGAGAAGGGACCAAATAGGGCAGATCTGGGAGATGGGGGTAGGGACACATGTGGGTTGGGGGGTGGGAGTTGGCGCTGAATTGTGCTGGGAGGGAGCAATATGTTCAGACAACTGGTGCTGGGCTGCGTTTACCCAACAGCCAGCCTGCCTGGGGAGACAATATTTGAAAAACACAGAATTGAAACTTGGACCTGCTGAGGGTTGGTGACTCTGCAGAGGTAACTGAGGTGGCTCAGACACTGCCCTAAGCTGGCTTCCTTTCTTTGTCCCTCTAGGAGGGGCTGCAACTTTTCCTTGGTACAAAGTCCTTCTGCCTATCTAACTTGGATCCCTCCTGCTGTGATTATTTCAGTAGAAGTAGGCCCTGCTTCTCTGCCACTTCTCTGCCCAGTACTGTCCCTCTTTTACTTCGGGCTGTCTCTGTGTGTCTTGCTCATCTCCCTCACTTTCTCCTATGCTCCCTGACTAAATCAGGTCCAGATTTCTCTGCACTGGGAAGAGAAGTTTGACTGGAGTAGGCAGGGACAGACTTTGTTCCTCCAGGTGGGAAAGAGAAGGAGCAGCCCCCTTTTTGGGGATGAGTGCAGAAGAGATAGCCTGTTGGGGGCCAGGGGAGGGCTCCAAGATCACCTGCTGGGGCTGTGCCCTGTGAATGGAATTCAGGATTCTGAGGGGGTGGGAGGAGTTTGGTTCTCCAGCAGCCCTAATCAGCTCTGGTGACCTCAGGCTGCCTACTCTTTCCTGATCTTCAAGCCCATTGTTAATTTCTCCAAGGCAGAGAATGTGTATGAGGTTTGCACACTGTGTCATGGCTCCAGGCTAGGGGTATGGGCAAGGAGGAATCTATCATCCTTTTTGTTTAAATGGGGAACTAAGGCACTTTGGGTATAGGGAGATGCTGGTAGGTTGGGACTCCCTCATCTGCCTTACATTCTATTCTTGGTTACCCTCTACCAGGTGTCTGGAGAGAGAGCTGAGCCTGCTTCCTGGGCCCCTAGGCCCCTCCCACAATGCCTGTCGCTGGTCTCCTCCTCTGGGCTTCCCTACTGACTGGGGCCTGGCCAGCCACCCCCACCCAGGACCTCCTCCAGGCCACACCCCGGGTCCGGCTGTCCTTCAAAGGTAAGAAGCTGCCTTTCTCTTCCCCAGGCGCTGTCCTCTGTTCACAGCACTTGGCCCTGCTGCGTGGGAGAGAGGAGAGATCAGGGCCAAAAAGGACAAGCTGTTATTTCTTAAGTTAACTGATATCTACTATGTTGCTCTAAGTCTTTTTTTCATATGTGAAATATTTCATAATGATTATTAAACTAACAACAACAACAACAGAAAGACAAATTGTGCCGCTACATGGGTTGCTCTGGGTATGTGTATGTGCAGGGATGGGAGGATGGAAAGCCTGGAGTCTGGCCCACTTAGACATTTTAGGAAAAGGGTCTTGAATCTGGGTACCTTCTGGGGTCAGACTGTGAGGTCCTGGGCTGGGTTGTTTAGGATCTTCAAGTTGTCTCTCTCTGCAATGATTCCAAATCTATGTTTGCTAAGACCCTTCTTCTCCACTGATGTGTACCTGGTCCTGCCGTGGGCAGCTCAGGCCAGAGGGACAATCAGGCAGACCCTGGGGCCTCAGGAAGTCTGAGGGCCCGAGACCTGCTTGTTGGGGTATGGGCGCTTGAGAGACCTTTTTTATGGATGTCTAGGTGGAAAAGTTTGGGAGTTCTGGTAGGATAGTGGCTAAGACACTTGCCTGCTAACCAGACGGCTGGTGGTTCAAACCCACCAGCCACTCCTCGGAAGGAAGGTTGGGCATTCCTACTTCCGTAGTGATACTGCCTCAGAAACCCAAGGAGGGGTCGCTATGAGTCAGGTATGACTCGACGGCACATAACAACAACAACATAACAAGGTGGAAAAGATTCCCAGGAATCAGGGAGGGTGCTATTATTGGCTGGAGGGCTAGTGGGATCCACCTGGTGGGTTCAGGGACAGTGCACCCTCCTGAGATTCCCAATGAGCACTCTGCCTGGAAATTCACTGGAAGGTTTTAAAGATGGGTTGGGGCCTGCAGAGTGAGAAGCTGGTCCCTCAGCCCTGTCACCTCTGGGCAGGCAAACACAGGTACTCCCAGGTGCACAGGTGGCTCACTCACTGGCCACTTCCTCAAGAGTGTCTGCCTCAGCATTAGGACCCAGGGGACCTAGAATCACTGCTGAGTCCTGAGCCTCAGCCCCTCTCCCTCTCTGGGCCCACGGTCACTTTGACTTTGTTCAGCCGCCTGCCCTGGGTGGGGCTGACTAGCCCTGGCTGGGCAGGTTTCCGGGCAGGCAGCCATATTGGGGTGAAAGGCTGGGCTGAACTTTCCTTCCTCAGGCTCAGCCAAGGCCCAACCCCCACCCCACCAAGTCCCCCCCGCCCCCCCACGGGGCCCCAGCCCTGGCCTCATCCCACCCCTGTGACTCAATGGGAGGAGGGGGAATGAGCTGCCTGTTACGATTTCTCTCAGTCACCAACACAATGTTCTCAAAAGGGGTCCTGTGGAGGACCTGAGCAATGTGCAGGGAAGAGTTAACCAGTTGTTGTTGTTGAAGCACCTCCCCCAACATGTCCCTCAGGCCTGGGAAGGTAAGATACTTATTTGCTAATACCTCCACCCTCCCCTGGTGGAATTCCTTAGAGCAGATTAATAGATCTTGAAGGGGCCAAGCCCCCACCCCTGCCACCCCATCCCCTTCCCAGCCCAGAGGGAGTGATGTGTCCCCTTCTGCTACAGACTGTGGACAGCTCAGTCTCCACACCTCTGGGACTCCCGGAACCCAGGTTTTCACTCAAGGTGTTATTTTTGTCATCATCCTGGAGACCAGTGAGAAGAAGCAAGAGGGACAAGACCTAGGGAAGTTCTGTTGTAAACCTTCTCAGATCTCCAGGGGCAAAGAGCAGAGGCTTTTGTTCCTGTTTCCCAGAGAGAGAAACCGAGGCTCAGGCAAGGGCAGGGCCAAGGTCAAACAGGAGGCAGAGGCGAGGCCAGAAATAGAACCCTGGCATCCTGGCCTTGCTGGCGCCCACAGCGCGTCAGGTCGATTCCCTCTCAATTAGCTCTGAAGCCGACACCCGCAGTGACTAAAAGCCCAACTCACCTCTCAGGCTGGCGGCCAGCCTGCGGTGCTGACACAGCCTGGGGTGGGGCTGTGGGATGCCCGGGGCTACCCCATCACAGAGACCTCTGTGCCTCGGCACACACAAGTTCCTCTGCCCGGAGTGACCCTCCCTGTTCCCCACTTGCCTTTGTGTCCTGGTTTTATCTTTAGATGTCACTTCAGTTCAGCAGCTACTTGAGGACCTACTATGTGCTAGGCCCTCTGCTGGGTACTGGGTACTCCACAGTAAACAAGATAGGGGGCTCAAACTGGCTGAAAGGACAATAGGTACTTAGCTGGTCAGTGTCACCGAGGAGCCCAGCATCTACCGTGCACCAGGCCCTGTGCTCTGCCCCCATGCTAGATAGTCTTAGCTGGGTCATGTGCACAAAGGGTGGCCCTTAGCAAGCAGTAGTACTTCACCAAGTGTTTGTGGAGTAATAACAGAGACCTAGAGAAATGGATCCCACAGCCAGGCCAGATTCTGGGAAGGGGAGCCTCTTCCTCCAGAGTAACCACAAAGCACAGAGAAGACTGCTTGCAGAAGCACTGATACTCACTCTGGCTGTGCCTCAGTTTCTTCATCTGTACCTCAGATGAATATAGTAGCTAGCACACCAGTCCTCAGGGGCTCAGGCTAGGCTTCCCTCCCTCCTGCCTTGGGTCCTGCTATTGCTGGAAGCTGCCAGTTTAGACCTGGATTGGGCTAGACCCTCCAAGCCAGAGGTGTTGGCATGAGGGACTGTGCTGCCCAGGCAGATAAAGGAACAAAGGCAGGAACTGGGCCAGGCGTGGGCTTGCTGCCCGCCCATCCGCCTGGGCACCCTGGCCAGGTCTAGAGCTGGGAGGGCCTGAGGGAGGAGGAGCCCAAGGTTCAGTCAGATTTTAGGACCTCCTATGGCCCATCTCCTAAGCTTCCATCAGCAGCACAGCCAAAGTTAGGTAAAAGTGAGGTGTCAAGTGAGGAAGATTTCCAGAGCAAGTGAGGTCTTGGATTCCTGGCTCCTGAAAGCTTGTGGATGCTTGGGGCTAGAGAACCTAGGCAGTGGGACCTTCTTTCCTCTACCCATCCATGCCTGGGCCTGGGGTCCCCTTCACTCAGAATCACAATCCAAGGCAGGAGAAGCCCTCCTTCACCTCCACCATATGACCCTAGGCAGCAGTGGTCCCACCAAGGTACGAGGGGTCTCCCTGGCTGTCTGGTGAAGAATGAGGCTCAGAGGGGTTCGGTGGCTTCCCAGGTCACTCAGGAGTGGAATGAGATTGAGCCTGGCTCTGCCTATGCCTGCTCCTGTCCCAGGACTGAGAGTAGCATGTGGAGTGGATGAGAGGTTCAGGGTTTCAGGATCTGTGATGCCAGCTTCAGCCTCTCAACCTCATTTTCCAAGAAGTGGGCAGGGGTCTTACTGGGCAGGCTCCCCATGTCCTGTCTGGAAGCAGCAGCACTTGGGTTTGCTATTTCCAGGTTGTAAATTTAGCCCTTGAATATCCCTGCCCCTACACTCAGCAGATCCCCTAGGAAACCCCCTCATTTCAGAGACAAGGAAACCAGGGCCCAAAAGAAAAAAGGACTCCTTTGGCTGGGGCAACGGTAGGTTTGCTCAGTGAGGAAGGTGAGTGGGTGAGTGCCCATCACTGCCTTCATAGCTACCTCAGCCAGGCCTCTGGGGCTAATGGCCCAGAACAGTACCATCATACACATCATTTGTGTTGGCAGCAAAGGACCAAAGTCACCAGATCTCCTTGTTTGGAAATGAGATGAGAGGTTGGGAGGGGTCATAGCCTATTTACTTCACCCATAAAGGGGGTGAATATGGGTGGAGGCAGAAGTGCCTTTAGCAAACCTTGATCCATTGTCTCAGGGGGGTTGGTTGAAGAATTAGAGAGCTGGTCCTGGCTCCCAGGGACTCTGGGACCAAAACCAAACCAAGGCATCAAGCCTCAGATTCCAGGGAATGGGGGAAGGTAGGAAAGGAGGCCCAGGGACATGGAGACTAGGGATCAGGCACCAGGGAGCTGGGCAGGGGTCAGGTGACTCTGACAACTACCATGAAGTTTGGAACTGGCCAGCCTGGGAGGGGCGGGTGTTCCGGGATAAGCCATGATGAAGCAGGAAGGAAGATCCAAAGCATGAACTTGAGCCCAGATCCCTGCATCTGGGATCTTGGTTTTCCAGGAAATGGGAGCCACTTCACTCCTGAAAGGGGACTTCAGAAGTGGCTGCTTCAGGAGTTGGGAGGTCCTGGGGGCTGCCCTACCCCGGATGGCCAGCAATCAACCCTAGGTAAAGTGGAGACAGGGTCTTTGTGCTTGCCCGAGAACCTGCCTGAGCCCCAGCCTGAGATAGTGAGGACAGGGCTTGGGCCCTTCAGCTGTGGCCCTTCCAGGTCCAGCCAAGCTTCAGATGGGACCGACACTGTTGGGGCCTCAGCAGCACAGACCTTGTCTCTGGTTCCCTGGCATGACGCCTGCCCCTCCCTCCCTGGCTCCAGCTTCCCTTGGCACCGAGCGAGGAGCTGGTGTATGCTCAAGGAGTAAATCATGTTCCTTGGCAGCCCCCGCTGCTTCGTAATCATAAAGAATTTAAAGAGAAACCGCTGAGATAAAAATCTCATCCCGGCCCGTAAAGGCATCTTTTACTCTGTGGCTTGCCGGCGGTAGCCTCTGAGTGGGCTCTTGGCTGTCTGCACCTGTGTGTGTGCACCCTCTGACCCCATTACCCATCCTGAGGTGGTGATGGTCCCGGAGATGTCTGCAGGGCTGTGGGGACCTGGTCCCTGACTGTCAGGAGACCTCCAGCCCCTCCTCAGGACAGGGAGAGGAACACTTGTATTTGGTGTAATGCAGAGGAGGTGGTGGTAATAGAATCAGGCAGACAAATTCTGATTCTGCCCTTGTCAGCTGTGTGACCTCGGACAAGTGACTTTGCATCTCCCAGCCTTGGTGTTTTGCTGTGTAATGTGGGGATGCCATTGGCCCTGTGGAAGAAGC